AATTTTACATGATTCACATTTACATAATTTACATTTTATCAGTGAGATATAGTCTCCTTACAAGGGGCATGTACTAACTCAATAATCAAACAGAACAATACAGTCAAGTATATATTATAAAGTTTATATATAAAATATTTGTATGTCATATATTTAAAATTTGTGGATAAATTATTATTAATAATAAAAAAATAGTATTACTATATACTCCAGAAAATGTATGTATGTCAGGGTGGAGTGGGAGAAATAGATGAAACACAGCAGAATGTCATCTCTGTTGAAGCTGGGCAACAGGGACATGGGGACTGCATTATTCTCTTGACTTTTAGGTAAATTTGAAATTTTCCATAATAAAAAGGTAAACAAAACACACAAAACTGAGAGCATCAGTGAATTAACTGTTGGCTTTCAGAGGATATCATTATTGTGATGTGAGAAATGTAGAAATGTGAAAAACAAATAATATACAACAGATATAAGGCTGTACAACTTAATGATGGGAATCCACGAGCCATTGGCTGTGTGACCTCCGAAAGCCTCAATTTCCCTGTCTGTAAAATAGGGAGGATCCTTGTCTATTGGGAGGTCTATAATATAGACTTAATTCTGATTATTTTTGTGGCGACTGCTGTTCGATCCAGGGAAGCACACTAGAAGCTGGAGCAAGACCTCTACACCCCAGAGGAGCTTTCAGACTTGGATGTGTGCCAGGGCCATTGAGATGCTAACAAAATGCAGGGTCCAAGGCCCCACATAGAAGGAGTTTCACTTGGTAACTGGAGTCAGGCGTCGGGGGTCTGCACCTTGAATCATAGCCCACTGGGAAAACCGTGCGTCTAGCCCAAGGCCAAAGACACCCTGGACAGCAGGTCTGCCCTGAAGGAAAATGGGTGGCTATGCACAAACAGGGCTGCGTGTCATTTGGGACAACTTCCCATTTATGACTCTAGCTGGACTTTGTCAGCAGTCATGGCTAGAAAAAACTGGCATGTGACAGACACTACTGGAGTCTCTTGTTTGAAGACATAGAGAATAAACAACATGTCACCTTTGTGCTTTCCTCCCGGAGGGACAGAATCTGGGCAATTGACTTAGGTCAGATTCTAGTTCCAACACATTAGAACTGCATGGCCCTGGGATCCATGACTGACCCTTATGCATCTGTAGAACGGGAACAATGACAGCAGTATCAGGACCAACTAACGAGGGGTTGTACTGATCTCTAGGCACCGAGAAAGGATCTCTGTAAGATCAGGGACCCACTTCTTAAGGACTGCACATTGGGGTTTGGGGTCCCTCTGCTTTCTTAGTTCATAGGAAAGCAGGGTCTAGGACAAAGGAGAAATGAAGCTCAAGATGCACATCGAGCTGGAGACTACCCACACCCTGGCCAAACAGCCCCGGGGACAATGGCGGTGGAGCCCCGTAGACCCAGTGTGCACCTGCAGCCCTGACTTCTTAAGGGGCTTTGTCTTCATGGGAGTCTCCATCCTAATTCTCTGTTTCCATTCTCCTGACAACAGCCTGGCCTCCAGGCTTCTCCTCTTGGGAGGAGCCTGAATCAGAAAGGAGAAGCAAGGCGATAGCGTGGGGGCAGCGCGCTGGGCTTGGAGTCCAGGTGGCCCATCTCCCGCCTCAGCCTGGTCACGGTGCAGTGCTGTGATTTCATCAGTATCACTAATTCACACAAAAGTAATCTCAGGCACATCATATCTTCACTGCAAAATCATGTGTTTGAGGAATTTGGGGTGTACTACAAATCTCTTTCTCAAAAATAGTATTAATTTATGCTCAATTCCAGGCCTGTTGAAAATGTAGACAGACATACTGTCCCAGCCTAGACTGTGAGCTCCTCAAGGGCAGGGCCCACTGCACCGTCAGCCCCTAGCCCCGAGGTAGGCATGTGGCAGGTGCGGCCTGCAGGAGCGAGTGAACCTGCTGTCCCACTCTGTGCCTGTCTGAACACACGGCCCCTCCTCCTTCTGTCTGTAGCCTCACTTCAGTCACGGGGAGGAATGCCCCACCACACGGCCTCACCTGTGCCCCCCTCCCCAGCCTCCTCCCACGGACCCCCAGCCCTTCCTCTGTGTAGGAGACGGAGCAGCCCACGTCAAAGCAGAGGTGGAGAAATGCTCAAGTCCCGCATGAAGCCAGGGGTCACCTTTTGCAGAAAAAGGGAAAGTGAGAAGGTTCAAACAGCCCGAGTCGGAGGCCGTCCAAGGGAAGCCCTCGGTGGGAGGCAGAGCAGGAACCAGCCGGCCCGAGAAAGCCATGGCTCATGGCTTGGGCAGGAGAGACAATGTCCAGGGGGACATCACTGTCCACCTTCTCCAAGGGGGCTCCTGGCTGCTTCCTGGGGAACAGGGTGCAAAAGAGACTGGCTCCCACGGACAGGTGACCCACCTACTTCAGAACAGGGAGTCCAGGCCGTCGGTCCTTCAAGTCGAGGGGCTGGGTCTCACTCTCCTTAGAGACCTTCAGACCCTTAGCAGGGTCTGGTCCTGCAGGGTGGGGATTTAGCATCTGTTGAGTTGAATTAAATTGAGCAAGACTGGAGTTGAGGCGGAATGACACCGCAGGAGTGCCTCGTGGTGGCCATAACAAATGACCACAAACGGTGGGGCTTACCAAGACAGAACTGTCTTCCTGGAGGCCAGAAGTCCAAAGTCAAGGTGCCACAGGGCCATGCTCACTCCCTCCTCCGGCTCCTGGCGGCTCTCAGGGTTCTCTGGCTCCGAATCTGTCTTCCAAAGGCCTTTTCCCCGAGTCTCCGTTCTTTTCTGTCATAAGGACACTCTCACTGAGACCCACCTTCATCCACGTTCTCATCTTGATTCTTACCTGAATTACAGCTGCAAGACCCTCTTTCCAAGTAAGGTCACATTCTGAGGTTCTGAGTGGACATGACCTGGGGTCACTATTCAGCCCAAAGCAGACATTAAATAGCAAACAGCATAGCGACAGGTGGCAAGAAGGTGGGCCGGAGCTGCGGGACCTCGATCCGGTTACCTGCCCCAGCGACTGAGGGCTCCTGTTGGCACGTCTGACCTCCACTGCCAGCTGGGAGGCGGGGATCGTGGCTCCGCCACGGAGGAGGAACCTGAGGCCCAGCGGGGCTGGGTGGGCGGTCAGTCACACGGCCGGTCCGAGCGCGGCCTGGGATCCAGGCGCCCTGGCACGGGGGCTGGTGGGTTTCACAGCGAGGCGGGGCCGGACTCCAAGAGCCCCCCGCCAGATCAGGCCCCAAGATCTTTTCCGCTGCGGCGACCTTAGCACTCGAAGGCCAAGGTGTTGGGCCGTCCAGGTTTTCACGTTCTTTCACTTCCTCCTATTGCGGATTTTGGAATGTGGCTGCTTCTCGGAATCACTGGAAAACGCGAGGTCCGAGAACAAGGCTTAATCCAATCACTCCCGGAAATCGGCGTGTCCCCCCTGGGCCCCCCGGGATCTCACGCCGCGGGGAGCTGCCCTGCCTCTGCCTGGATGCCGGCTCCCGGCTCCGCGGGCCCAGCTCGCGCGGGAGCCCAGGGGCGTCGGGGCTGGGCCGCCGCCCTCCTCTCTCCCCACCCCCGGCTCTGCTCTGCGGCGTCTGCTCAGCTCTGACGTCCCGGGGCGGGAGGCCGTCGTTGGGGAGCGTGTCGGCCTTTGGCCCAGGCCCCGACGAGGTCCACTCGTGGTTTCAGGGACTCTATGGTGTGCTGCTCAGGCCGGCGTGGGCTCCACCCGCCGCCCAGCGCCGGACCAGGTCCCCGGGCGGCGGGCTGAGGGGCCCCGGCCTCGGCGTCGCGCCTGTGCACGTGCGACTCGGCCCGCAGGCGGGGGGGTTCGGGGCGGCGGGGGCAGCTCTCCCGGCTCGGCCCGCCCGGTCCGAGCCCCGCGGGCGCGCAAGCCTTTGCTGAAGAGACGCTCGAGGCTCCTCACGGCGCGAGGCGAGCCGGCCGCCTAAGAGACGCGGGCGCGGCCCTCTGCGCGCTCACGGCCCCCTCCCCTCCGGGAGTGCCAGGGCCCAGAGAGGCCGAGCCACTGGGCCAAGGTCACACAGCTTGCCGAGGCCAGGCCGGGGATCGGTTTGGGGCTCCCGAGTCCCCTCAGCAGCTTTTGGAAGACGCGTTGCCCCCTGTTCTTACGTCCAAGAATAAAACAGGAAGGCCGGACGCCCGACTGTCGCCTCAGACAATGCTCCACGCAAAGCTGTGGGAACAAAAGCAGCCAGAAATCCGCCCCGGGTTTTCCACCGCGCTGGCTTGCCAGCCGCCGTGGGGCGGGGCAGGGCGGCTCCTGCGTGATCGACAGCTTCTGAGAGGCGTGACCGAGGCGGGGGCGAATCGGATGGGGGCTCGGAACAATCACGGGCCGAGAAGGCGAAGGCCGAGCCAATCAGCGGAGGGGGCGGACCCTGCCGGCCGGGCTGTCGCGAGAGGCAGCCACCCCGCCCACTTGCGCCTCGTCCCGGCGCCCGTCAGCAGCGAACGCAGCGCGCTCTGCCCGGATCCGTCCGCGGCGCGGCGAGTGGGGAGCGCGAGGCCGCGCGAGTGCCGGCGCAGATCCCTCCGCCACAGCCGCTTCGCCGCTGTGTGTCCCTGCGCGCTCCGCCGCCCGCCAGCCCGTGCGACGCGCCTGTCCGCGGCCTCCACCCGGCAACGGCCGGCCGGCCCAGGCGCGGCTGCGGCGGCATGGCCCGGGCGGCTCCGTCGGGGGGCGGCCCGCAGTGACAGACCCTGCGGCGCGGGGGGAGATGGGGGCGGCCGCCTCCCGGGCGACGACGTCGACGACGAGGAGCGGCCGCCGCCGCCGCCGCCGCGCACCGGCCGCCGCTGGGGACGGGCGCGGGCCAAGAGCCCGCCCGTGAGCGGGGGGCCCGAGGCCGCTCGTCGCCCCCGGCCGCCCCGGCCGCCCCGGGCCCCCCCGGCGCCCCGCGCGCGCCCGCCCTCCGGCCCCTGGCGGGGGTCCCGCCCGCGCCGCGCGCTCCCGGCCCCGGCGCGCCCCCCTCCCGCGCCCGCCCGCGCCCCCGGCCCCGGGCGGCCCCCGGCCCCGGCGCGCGGCGCGGCGCGGGCGGCAGCATGGTGGAGAAGCGCTGCCCGCTGCAGAGGGACGGTGTGTACCGCTGGTTCTCGGAGCTGCCGTCGCCGCAGCGCGTGGAGTTCCTGTGCGGCCTGCTGGACCTGTGCATCCCGCTCGAGCTGCGCTTCCTCGGCTCGTGCCTCGAGGACCTGGCGCGCAAGGACTACCACTCGCTGCGGGACTCGGAGATCAAAGCCAACAACCCGGCCGACCTGGGCAGCCTCACCAACCTGACGGACGAGGTGGTGCGCAGCAAGCTGCTCGTGTCGCTGGCGCTGCTGGGCTCGGAGCAGCGCGAGGCGGCGGGCGTGCTGTACCGCACGCTCACGCACATCGACTCCATCATCCACAACTACGGGCTGCAGCTCAACGAGGGCCGCACGGGCGATGAGTTCCTGCTGCTCTTCACCATGGCCTCCAACCACCCGGCCTTCAGCTTCCACCAGAAGCAGGTGCTGCGCCAGGAGCTCACGCAGATCCAGAGCAGCCTGAACGGCGGCGGGGGCCACGGCAACAAGGGAGCGCTGCCCACCTGCCCGGCCTGCCACAAGGTGCGTGTCGCGCCAGCCTCCAGGCCGCCACCTCTGGCCCCGCAACCGCTCCCCGGGCCGCCGCCCCAAACCCCAGATCCCCACCACGCACTGCCACCCCCAGACCGCCACCCCCAGGCATTCTTTCCGGGTCT